AATATCATATAAGTGTAACAAAAAATGTATATAAATTTCTATTAGAAAACTTATAGACACCTATATATGCATACAAATTCATTACACAATTTACAATGGAAGGGTCATACAACAATAATCCTACTACTCTTGACCTAAATCTTTCCCTAAACTCCTATCCATGTCTAAAATGGTAAAATAGTAACCACAGGGTGAGAAAGCATCATAGTAACTAAAAAGACTCATAACCATCTATTAACAAGCATAACAATAACAAAGTATTAAAGTGGGAATATTTGAACACAATTTCCAACACAAATTCATAATATAGTATGCATGATCATAATATCCTTCCAAACCCTTGCATCAACCTTTGACTAATTTTGTAGGCTACGACTTTGGAACAAACCTAAATAAGCTAATCTAAGCACACCTTCCATGGTAGAACTACCTAGCCAAAGGTGTTAGATCCCACTTTTAGAGTATGGACTCCCCCTATTACACATATAATTGAGGTGTCATTTACTCTAATATCACATGCTTTCAAGTACTAAGGGTTGTATAATCATATTATGACTACCCAAACGTCCCATGGTAACAATCCATAACATGTTTACTTTACCATGTCCTATGGTACCAACCTGACTATATAATTTCAAGCTCTACTCCACATAGGGGAAGTTAGCAAATGAGTAGATTAATTTGATTAATCATATTTCCATATTGCTAATGGGTGTTTTGGACCATTGGATAGCATTGGGGCCGAGTTAAGACGTAGTTTGGATCAAATTGGGACTGAATGGCATGAGATAGGTGAGTATTTTCTTATTGTGCCATGCGTCGTGGCTTGTGTATGTTATGCCGTAGTGCATGGCTCTTAATTAGATTTAATAAGTCAAGAATCAGCCATGAAAAACAAAAGAGAAACTTTGAAATTGAGGAGCACGTAGGGAGAAGATAAGAGCTCTACTAAGGAATCAAGGTTGGTGACCTTAGAAGATGATTTAATCTTTCAAACACTTAGGTAAGTCTTTCTTCTCTCTTTCTCCTTCTTCACCATGGATTCAAGGGGTTTAAAGTGAGAGAGTTTTAATTTTGGTTGGAAAAGCTATAAATCCATGCTTTAAGTGTTGATGTAATTTTAATAGCTTGATTTAGGTTATTTGGATTTGAGGCAACTAGTTTCATGAAGTGTGGTGGTTAAAAGTTTGAATTTACAAGAGCCCTAGCTTGAATTTAATGTTTTAGAATTGGTCGAGGTGGATTATGTTGTGATTTTGTTGAGTAGGGATTTGAAATGTAGCAGTGAGCTAGTTATGGCTTTGATTTGCTCGACTAAAATTATAACATTGTATAATATTAAAAAAAATTGAAAATATATGTGTGTGAAAGAAGTTTTTAGCTAAATATATAAGATCAATTTAGATTACTAAATAAAAAAGTTTACATATTTAAAATTATTGGAACAATAAAAATTCATAATTATAAAACTAATCAAATTTATAATAGGATAAAAATTAATCAACTTAATAAGGGGTAAATGAGAAAATGAGCCCCAAACTTTAGATCAAGTAGTATCATAGCCCTAAACTCATTTATTGTAATTTGATCAATTTTATTGTATTTTTTATTCTTTTTTTGTAATTTTTGAGGTTCTTTTCTATCATTTTCTGGTTAACTAATGGTCAAATTCAACTTTGGTTAACAATAGAAGCTAGATAACACTATTTTCAAAAGTTGAAAGAATAATTTACATAATAAACTAGTTCAGGGTCTATGGTACTACTGGATCTAAAATTCAAGAGTATTTTGCTCATTTACCATTTAATAAGATAAAATTATATGAATATATATATATATATATATCAAAATTATTTTTGGCATGGATAAGTATTTGAATGATTTATTGTTAAGCAATATTTATGCTAAGGAAGGACATTTCTGTCAAAAAAAATCAACATTGTGATTTAATGGTCAACTAACTATTTAGATGGGTGGAAGTAAAAGTTTAAAGGAAAAATATCAATCAAGAACTATTGAAAAAATTTATATCAATTAAGGATCACTTATTGTCAAAACCCGAATAGATATTTGTTAATTCGAGTTAGTTTTTTATTAACAAATATCTATTTATATTTAACAATAACTCATTCTAAATTAATAATAGTTTATTCATGCTTATTTTCCATTCAAGTTTTAACAACAACTAATTTTTACCGATATAAATTTCTTCCAACGATCATTGATTGCCATTTTCCCAATTTTAAAATAAAAAGAAAGGTTTGTGTAACATACATTTTAATTTCAAGAAGTCCATAAAGGTTTTCAAAGGAAAAGAAAGATATTTGTAATTTAGATTAAATGAAAGGAAAGTTAGTGCATTTTACGCTCTCTTTTTTAATAGAAAGAAGTTAATGACCCTCCATCCTCTTAAGTAATCCCTCTCTCCCTATATATATATATATATATATTATTTGAAACACTCTCCCTATATTCAAATATTTTGAAACAAAAAATAAAAAATGGTGTAATAATTATTGATGAGTATAATAAAACTTAATAGCTTGTTTGAGGCTAAAATTGTGAAATTATAAAAATAGAACTTAACGGATCAAAAAAAGTTGGTCAATTTTATAAAATTAATTGGTATCTATATATTTTTATTAACTTTAGAATATCAAAAGCTCTTAGAGAAAACATTTATGGGCATTTTAAATATTATTTTTTTTAATGGCCAATGTTAACATATGCCAGCCAAATTTAATGAAATGGGGATATTATAATTATTAAAACAAGTTCATGAGTACTCTTGCACTTTTGTTTACTTAAGGATATGATGGACAAGTAGTGGAGCCAAGACTCTAAGTCAGGGGGTGCAATACAATATAATTTAAAAATTAATAATTAAAAATAATATTCTAATTTTTTTAAATTAATTATATTAGGTAAACAAATATAATAATATAAGTAAAATTATATATATTTTTATCTTGGAAAAATAAAATAAATTTTTTTGCCAATAATAGGTTTTTTTGTTGATATAGAATTTAAATTTGGACTAGTAAATATTTTTTAATTAAGTCTAGAGAGTTTAAAATACTATAAATATGTGGTGTAAGATTGTAAATTTCTCATACTATATATATAATTTTCCCATATGAGAGGGTCACATCAACATAGCTCTGCCATTGCTGGGCATTCTTGGAAGCCGTATTTTTACCTTTTAATATAAAAAAATAATGCCTCAAATAAATTATAAAGAACCCTATAATAAGGATGATGTGAAAAATCATTTAGATCAAAATTAAAGACTGTACAATAAACTCAGTGGTTGCAATTAAATTGATAGAATATTCTCTACCAATTTAGTAATCATGTGATAGCTGCTTCTTTTTAAAGTTGGGAATTTACTTTTCCTACATTTTGTATTGGGTTAGGCTTGAGAAATTTTCTAAAGAAATAAAAAAAAAATCAATAGGGCTTTTAAGCTTAGGTTGAAAAGCCTTACAAAAAAAAAAAAAAAAAGAGGAAGGCAGAGAGGGGTTTGGGCTAATCTAAATGCCCTTTTATTTTAGAAAATTTCTTTTCCCTTTTTGTCATTTAAAAATTCTTTGTTTAGTTTTAGCCTCAAACAATCAAACGCTAATCATTAAAGTATTAAATTAGTGAAAGATTAATCACGATTTCCTAATCTTGTAAAGAGGGCATGTGTAAGTTTCGAAGGCCTCATATTTTTTGCTATGTACTTTCTCCCTCTCTCTCTCTCTCTCTCTAATCTCTTGTCTTTTATTCTTCATATTTTATTCTTTTTTTTATTTCTTTTTTTTTATCAATCTTTTGTCTTTTTTGTCCCAAATCGAATGATTCTTGAATATCTTGTCAAATTTTTGTATTGAATATGCTTAAGGATTGTCTATTTCACTAAAATAACTTAAGCTACTTGTTAAACATATCCTATATTTTGTATATATATCCAATCTACTCTCTAATAATTATATGTGGGAAATTTCTTTTTCTAATATTTAGTATTGGGTCGCGTGTTTTCACCACATGTTCATGATTTATGTATATTTTATCATCTATCATATATGTTTTATTTTTGGATGAAACCATGAAAATGATACAATTTATTCACTATTCAATCTAGATGCATGAAGGAAGATTTTGATGATGTTGAATAGGCTGTTCTAGCCCTTGATCTTTCTTCATCCAGAGAGATTCAAGGTCAAATGTTTTGTTGTATTTATAAATGATGATTTGATATTTAGTGATATTTTAGAACATTTGCGTGATATTTTATTTTCAATAATTGGTGTTTTAAATGTGAAACTAGGGATTTAGGTTTTGTTGAATATTTAATATTTAAGTTGAATTTTATAAAATAAAAAAAAAATACAAGCTTTAGGGCCAAGATCTGAGCTAGCCTGGATTTAAAAGGAATAGAGCTTTTGGGTTCAAGTCTTAATAGACATAGCCCATAAGAAACGAGCCGATCTATTTCCTTCCTCAACTCTTTTATGTAAGAATTTAACCATTCATGTCTTATTACAAAAAAAAAAAAAAAAACCATTCATGTCTTGTAAATATAATATTTATGAAGAACACATACAAATCAAAAGTGTGCAAATTAACTTTCTTGTAGAACATTAACTTCCACTTGCATGTCTCCAAGTAGAGAGAAGACGGAATCGAAGAAATTGAAGACAAAAAAATAAGGGCCAATTTATTTAAAATTAAAGAAAACGTGATCAATCAAGTTTTTTTTTTTTTAACACTACTTAAATTGTTAGGAGAAATTAAGCTAATCAAAATTTTGTTGAAAATACAATATATATTTTTTTAAGCTTTTTTATATGTTGTTCCAAATTGAAATGAGATTTGTTTTTCAATGCATCCATTCTGTGTCTAGCTTAAATTCTCCCGACAACTCCTCACACTCCCATTAATTAACTTGAACACGTTATTTAGCATAACTAAAATCACTTTCTATTAATCTTAAACAAACGGAACCTAAACGAGCATTAAGATTCTACGGCGGTGGTAGAGGGAAAGGCTGTAGAGTCATGGCGGCGGGTGAACAAAGAGATCAAGAAGTCAAAAAGATCGGTGGCGATGACGGCGGAAGCGACGTCATCTTTGAGGAGGGTTCTCCTCTTGGAGTGAGTGGTGACGATCCATGACCTTCGGGTGAGTTCCTCAATGAAGAGCTCACAAGCTTTAGCGAAAGCAATGGGAGCCTCACCAGAAACCATCTTCACTTCATCCCCAGATTTCTTCATTATCTTCTTGATCCTCGCTAACGGCAGCGCGTGAGGCCCCGTCTTTAGCCCTGAATATGCTCCTGAGTGCCTCATTCTTTATTTTCACTTCCCTCTCTCTCTCTCTCTCTCAATTTACTATCTGTCTATGTTGACATTGATGCTTAATTATTCACTCTACTATATATGAAGCAATATATAGATATAATAGGCATGCAAGTTTCTATACACACACATACACACTGCCATGGAAGCTTGCGATGACAGAACTTTTAGGTTTCACTTACAGTTAGTTCGTTTTTAAAAAAAAAATTAATTGATTAATTACCGGCTAAAGCCGGCGAATTCAATTTGTCTTTAATGATGATATATACATTTTGTTGAACGCTGACAAAAATACGCTTTTATATCATTTGTGTGTGTGTAATTATTTTAAGGAAAATTTCAATAAGGGACTCTTAACCAAACATAATAAAAAAGAGGATCCATAAATTTTTAAAATTTCACCGAATGACTTATGGATTTTCATTTGAATTTATAACAGAAATGATAAATTTGCCCTCATTTAAATGAACAACATAAACGACTTGTTCGTTCTCATATTGTATGGTATTTATTTACTTATGGAATATTGTTAATTTTCTTACTTTACTTGTTTATAGCCCTTGTTTCACTTGATTTCATTCTAAGTGATGGTTTCATGATAAGATGGCTTGTTTCCTTCTATACTGTACGTCATTCATTTACTTACGGAATGTTGTTTATTTATCTATTTCACTTATTTGTGGCCCTAAAATGAAATCAATTGAAAGTAGCACTATAAACAAGTGAAGTAAAAAAATGAATAATATTTTATAAATAAATGAACAACATACAGTATGAGAATGAATAATTCATCTATATATGTTGTTTATTTACATGAGGGCAATTTTGTCATTTTTTGTAAAAAATTCAAACCAAAATCCTTTCAAATCCTTTAGTGAAATTTCAAAAATTTAGGCGTCTTCTTTTTTATTATGTTTAGTCAAAGGTCCCTCACTAAAATTTTTCCATTATTTCATGGTAGTATGTTATTATATTAGCTCGTATTGACTAAAATTCTAGTTAATTTAAGCATTGTTCAATATGAGATGGGATATTGACCCAAAAAAAAGAAATAGGATTATGGGATAGTTCTCTTATTAATATTTTTAAAATAATGTACAAGGCGGCTTGAATTTAAAATCTTAGTAGGCATATTAATCCCATTTGACTCGGTTGCGGTTATGTGATGTTTACGTATTGCTGAGTCAAAATAATGAATGGCATAAATAAACCTCTTTATTTTTGAGAAATAATTATATACTTAGTATATTATATATATATGTGTGTGTGTGTGTTTGTTCAATCAAATCAAAATAAGTAAATTTTAAATTATCAATAATATTAAGAAAAAGTTTATTATAATACAACCAATCTATTAAAAAAAAAGTATATATCTTAGAATGATTGGGAAGCAAGTACCTTAAATATAATTAAAGTACTTGCTAGGTTTATCATAAGAGAAACTCTTTTAGCATAATTTTTTCTATTCATAAAATTCAAATCCCAAATCTTATTTAAAAAGTATCAAATCTGTTGCACACTAGATGCACCTGCCCTTCATATGGTATAATATATATAAATGTATTCTGATTGGTGAAGGTATAAATAGTTACACATAATAAAAATAAAAAATCGCTTTTACAGCAATTATTTTGTATACATCGCTATCAAATAACTCTTGCAATGTCATGCATTTTGAAGTTGTAGACCATTGGGTCTCTAGCAAAAGAATGGTCCGTAAGCCACAAATTTATTAGAATCAGTTGAATTTGTATATCTTGGTTTATTGAATATTTTTTCTTGATTTGATTTGATAAAAGGAATGGATATGAATAGATAAATATGTAATGAAATTTAAAAAAAAATTGTGCATTACTAAATAGATTTGATTCTATGATAAACATGTAAAAGATATTGTTGATGTACTTGTGATGAGGGCGCGATTGGTTAAAAATTGTAAAATATATATATATATGTATATATATGTATATATATATGTATGTATATATATGTATATATATATGTATATGTATATGTTAACAATGTCGGAAAATGGTTGTCCAATTTTGCATCGTGCAACTTATTAGTGCATAAGCAATAATGGTCATATTTCATTGATTGGTTGAAATTGATATGCTATGTGCTATACCTCACAAAAATCTGTTTATCTTTATGCAATTTGAGTAATATCAAATTATCACACCATAAAAAAAATTAAAAAAGGGCCTAATCTATGAACATTAATTACATACTATATATAATTATATATTGATGCTTATTCTCTACTCTATATGAAGCTATACATATACACACACATATTTATATAGACATATCACCAACATGCAAGTTTCTACAAATTCATATTTAAATTAATTGCCGGGAAGAGCCGGCCATCTCAATTTCTCTTTAAACATTATCAAAATATATATACGGTTTGTTGAATCAGACGAATAGTGCTTTTATCCTTCGTGTATATGTAATTATTATATGGTACATTATTGTTGACTTAAATTCAAATTTTAATCATATTGTTAAATAGAAAATGGGGTAGTTGTTTGGGAGAATGACAGGTCAAAAGATGACAATTAGATTTATAAACAAATAGATAGTACGAAGTTAGGTATTATGATTACTTTGATATCCTTTCATTTTCTTTCTTTTATATTTTTTTTTTGGTTCATCCAAAACACATGCTGTGATAACACATTATCCCTTTAATCTTTTTCTCTCTCCATTTTTCCACACATCTTTCTTTCTTTCCATCCAAACGAAGCATGTATAGTGGCATACAAGCAATCTGAACAACAGTTGAAGGTTCCAATGTTGAAGCCATTTTCTGCATGTTCCTATTCCAGCAGGGGATTCTTGGATATTTGTGGGATTTTACCCATTTGGTTGATGGAAAAGAAGGAAATTGAATGAACTAAAAAAATGAAAATAAAAATACAAGAATAAAGATATGGAAAAGAGATAAGTTAACCATATTCATAAGAGGGGATGGTAATTTAGTTCATAAGGTTGAGAGTCATGATTCCTTAAGATTTGTGGTGAGTGTGGTGATTCCTATATTTGGGATAAGTGATATTGAGTTTTATCATGTTTATTACTAGATATTGTAATGTGAAACAGGAAAGAAGAAAAGGAAAGGGAGGGAAGAGAGAAAGAAAAAACTATGTAACTCTTATTCAAATGCCAAAACTAAATACATTTGAAAAACTCTAAAGCTATTTATAGAGCTCTAGAATTAATAAAAATAATAATAAATTTAAATCTAAATAAAATTATAATGAAGAAAATAAGGCTAGATATCTTATTTTATTTGAGATAATACTTAAAAATAAAATAAATCTAAGATAGTAAAGAAATAATAACAATCCTTAGATACTAAATCAAGTCTCAATAAAACTTAAATCAAATCAAATATAATTCTCATCATTTTCCCCCGGTTGAAAGAACTCTCCATTGGAGAGCTAAATAGTTGGTAGTTGTTGAACAAAGCGAAGTCAATGGTACGGAACTCCTCTATAGTGAGCCATGTGGCATATAAATCCAAATGAACCTTCCAACAAACAAGGTATTGTTGGACAAGACCTGCTTGAGTAATAATCGTTTGTTCGTCTATGACAACATCAATGGTGTCAGTAAGTGGCATAACAATAGGCAATGATGGAATTGGGGCATGATGGAGATGTGTACCTGTAGAGTCATTAGGGAGCAAAGGGGGTGTCTCAAAAGCACCCTGGTAAGGAATAAGATCCTCAACATTAAATATTAAACTGATAGACATATTTGGAGGTAAATCTAACAAATGAGCATTAAGCCCTAGTGTTTTTTTTTTTGCAATGCGAAAAGGGTTAGAAGCACGAGCGTGTAACATCTTGAGTGAATTTCTCGAGGAGTGCTCTGGGCGTATGTGAGCCATACCGTAGTCTCCAATAATTCTTAGGAACGACGGTGTGCATTGGCAGCTAATTTGTATGCACCATTATTCATTACTAACTTACGCTTAATTTTAGCATGAAGGTCGTAAAGGAAATAGGCAAAAACTTCAGTTGATTTAGATGTATGGGTCGTAAGAGGGATGGGTAAGAGGTCAATAGGTTATTTGAGGTTGTATCCTTAAACAATTTGAAATGGACTCTTCTAATGGATCGATTGATTGAATTATTATAGGCAAACTCTACGACTGACAATACCAAATCCCAATTTCCTAGTTTATCACTGACTAGACTTTTGAGCAAGTCACCTAAACTACGATTAGTAACTTTAATTTGACTATTAGTTTGATGATAAAAGGCAAATGAGAACTTTAATTAGGTATTAAAGAGCTTCTAAAGGGTCATCCAAAAATAACTAACAAATTTGATATCCTATCTGAAACAATAGAAGTAGGTAACCCATGAAGACAAATTATCTCCCAAAAAAATAGCTTAACAAGATGGGAGGCATCGATAGTCTTGCTGCATGGTATAAAATGAGCCATTTTTTAGAATCGATCAATGATGACTAAAACTAAATCATGCTCTCGAATTGTCATAGGCAAACCTAATACAAAGTCCATATTAACATCTTTTTAGGGTGCCTTAGGAACTGGTAAGGGCTTATACCACCTTGTATTTCTTTTTTTCACCTTAGTAGTATGGCATGTGCGACATTGAGCTAGGATCCTAGCAACGTCTCACTTGAGGGAGGGCCAATAAAATATATCCTCTACTAATGCTATGGTTTTTTAAATACCAAAATGTCTTGCTAAACTACCAGCATGTAATTCCCAGATGAAAAAATAATGCATCAAAGTATGAGGGATACATAGTCTAAAGCGTCAAAATAAGTACCCATCGAGGACCAAGAAGTCTACATGTTCACAATGATGGCTATCATTGACTTCTCAGTATATAAATCCAAAATTAGGATAGGAGGTGTAATCATCCTGTAGTCTCTCAAATCCAACAGCACTAACGGTTAATGTGTTTAGAAGGTGGATTCTTCTGCTCAAGGCGTCAGCTAGCTAC